AAACACATTTCGAACCGAACACTGATTTTGGTAATAAAATTCAATGATTTGCAAGCGTTGCTCGTTAGTAAGTCTATTCATGATGAAATGTCAAAGCATACTGAGCATCTTTCTCTTTGACACCATGTCTGAAATCCCACGTGATCTGTCAAATACTAATGCATGAAAATCCTAACCTCAAAAAAATCACCCGTTATATAGAAGACAAAAAAAGTTTAAAAGTGTTGAGAGTAATTGTTAAATTCGGTAAATTTTTATAATTTTTGTACGAAGTTTGAAATGTGGATCTATGTACGTGGTTCTGATTATGTAATGTGCTAAACTTTCAAAAAACAAACTGTAAACATTAAATAAATAAAACCTAGAACTGGTCAAAGGCAAGTGATGGGCGAGTCCACGCGATGTTAGATTTTTGAAATTTATTACGATGAATTTTGGGACTTTTTTTTAATTATATTGGTGGGTTAATAAACTGAATACCTAGGACAATAGGGATAACTTTTGGCCTTATACGTATTGACTGGCAGTGTCTGCTGTTTCCGTGAGCTAATTAGGTATCAAAAGCAGCTATCGAAAAAATGTTAGTTCATGCACATTACTCTTTTTCAACGATTAGAAACCATTCTACAATCTTTCTTTAACCGTAGTGCAGAACTTGATGTACAGCGGTATATATAAACAAGTTTTAACATTAAAGAAACTCGTTTTATGACTGCAGCATAATTCTATGTTACCGTAACCCTAACGCAATCCTTTTATACTGTGCTTTGTTTATTCCCAGTTATTGACAGATTGGAATAATTATCTTCAATAATTTAACCGTTCGCGAAAAGTCAAGCCAAATTTAAATTTTTGAGAGAAATAAATAGATCACTCGGGGCTGTTATTTGTCGCCTGATTTGTACGAAATATGCAAAGTTAAGTAATAGTTTTCGGATAAATATAGACATCGCAATACTCGCAGTACTAAAATTGTTAATACCTGAGATCCAAAATTCCGTTGCCTTTCCTAATATCACTACCCGTGCTTTAGTTCACATTCCGGTGGCAATTCGTGCGTAGTTGTGTTATCATATAGAAGGCCAACAAATCTATGTATTAAATATTCTATCAGAGCAGCAAAAACATCAGTTCGTAGCAGGTCAACACTTCTTCGTAAAAACAAGCCTTTAGATCTTAATTGATTCTATCTAACAGAGGAATTGTTTTGGAACAATACAAAATCCTTGGTCTATGGTTTCTCTCTGAAAAGTTGTGTATGTATACACACGAGTTTACAATTAGGACTGTTTCTCTTGCGGCTGTTTCTTTGTCCTTCCTAATTCTTTATTCTAATCAAAGCTTGTACAAACAATCCGAATTTCGCAGCAAATAGAACTTTGCTATTAGCATCCCATCATTGCATTCATATTCTTTCATATCACTGAACAATTTGTTTAGAGAATACCTATTCCAATGCGCTTAGAACAAGAGTTCTTTGAAAAACTTGTCGAACTTTCTTACAGCAATGCAAACCATCTCAAATATAACTCTTTCTTGTCGTGAAAAGCAGGAAGCCCTACAGGATTTCTATCTTCTTCTAGAATTTTATTGACTTCTCTTATAGAAGTAAATAAATTAAAATTCAGACAACTCCTTTGAGGGACAATTCTTTGTCAGTTTTATCATCTCTAACACTCTTACCATCAGCAAGTCATAAGCGCATTAGCCGAGTTCTTCGTGAAGGTTCATCAAAAAAGTTTCGGCTTACAGTACTCAATGAGTTGATTTCGGACGAGTTTACTGATCTTAACTCATCTGGAAAACCCTTTCCTAAAAGACAATTTTTAGTGCTCCCTTTCCTCTGCCTTGATCCGCCAGTGATTAAACGGTGCTGTTTCCGAGTTTTCACACAAGGGTTAAATTACAAAAATTATAATGAAACGAATGGTAGGTGATAAGATAATTAATTCAAAAATTAATAAGCCAACTCCAAACAAGGAGATTGAAATCAGCAAGTCGTAAAGAATTTCTTATCTCCAAAGCTCATGGCTAACAAAACAGTTTTGCAAATTAAGAAATAAGCAAATCTTCAATTTAATATGTTCCGTTTGCAAAAAAAAAACAACAATGCATTTGTTGTTCGTATGCAAATTTTATAATTATTATTTATTAGACACCATTTTTGCCTATTGAAATTTAAATCTAGAAGTTTAGCAGACGACCATAAAATATTACCTGCCTTCTAATGAGTTCAAATTTTAATCTGGTCACTCGATTATTTGATTTTATTAATTTCATAGCATACAAAATTTATTTTTCAATGAAATTAAAACAAACCAAACCAAAAATTAGGCAGAGCAGCACAACAACACGCAGACAGGTGGCTCGCATTCGTAAGCCAAGCGCTTGGCAACTAAGGGAAATGAAATAGAAAATAATGAATAAAAAATTTTACATAAAATTTAGAACATAAGCAAACAGAAAACCAATAGTAAATAATTTATGTTAATTACAACGGCTAATTGAGTTTTTTCTCCTTACCTTTACAACACACAAAAAACTGATTTTGAAAATAAACTAATTTATCGCGCAACTGGAGACTCTCATTCAAATCTCTTCCTTTTTTTTTTTTGTTCATTTCAGTTGTGCCAAATCAAAACCAATTTCCGACACCCTACATCAACAATATTGTGCTTCATCAGCGGCATCAGCAACATTTGAAAACCAACAAAGTGTCGAACAAAGTGGAGTGAAAGAGTGGAGTTATTTGTGAAGCCATCATAAATAGCACTTAAATGACTAATAAAACAACCGCCTAGTAAAGCCAATAAAAAGCAACTCAAAAACATTTTTTTTTTTTTTTTGTTATATTCGCTGCTAAGGTACAATATGCCCAACAGTGCAGCAAGCAGCTACAGCCACAACAACAACAAAGCGTCAATCTAAAGTAGAGCAACTGTACGGGAAGTCTGTGATGCATGCCGATGCAAGCGATTGATTTGAGGTGCGAAGCGGTTAGTAGCTAGCAGATACAAGAATTTGGTAAGTGTGGACACACGCTGACAAATTGCAGCTATTAAATTTCGTGTTTTTTTTTTCGTATGTACAAAAGTACTTTCCCAAGTTTTTTGGTCAGTTTTTATTGCATACAGGTTAGTTATGTAGATACTCCAGATGCAATTTGATTCTTAAATATTTTTAACCTTAATTCGTCAGCACTTTATGCTTTTTTTCATCAAATGCAATCAAACAGCAGAAATCTGGAACATATTTTATGTTAATGTTTATAAAAATTGGATTAGCAGTAAATTTTTTGTGTGTGCCGATATTGAAACAAAGATCTATAAACATTTCATATTTTTCATAGCTCATTTCTGAATATTCTTTTTTTTCGCATAAATCTTGGCTTAGTCTAAATATTTAGGAAAACCTCATTGTTCCGGCTCGAGGAGATACGTCTCAGCGAAGTATCAATTCCTACTCTTCTTCACTCAGCCAAACTCTATGAGCCTCGAGAGCCCTCAGCTCAGATTTGCTCTAATGAAGCAGCTCACTTGTACCTTCGTTATAGGGGTTTCGTCGTGTCAATTGCATTTTGCCACAGTAAGACCAAAAGTAACTCCTTTGTGTTTTTTTTTATATTAACCGACGGAGACAATGTACATAATTTTAATAAACCGTTCGTTAAACCAGATTGTGAAGAATTTCCCTTTGTTTTCTTCACTTGCTTCAATACAGATGCCTAGGGTGAGTGAACGGGTTCGCAATAATAAGAATTAAAATATATCGAGCCCTAACCGCCAAAATAACGTAAGCGACATTTTTTT